ACGTAAGTGACACTGCATTTGTTAGACATTTTTAACATGCAATTAAAGTAAATGATTTCGTGATTCTTCTTTTGGCAGGCATGGCATGTTGTGGTACTTAATTTTTGCCATAAAATATTTTTATGACTTCTATGTTGTAACCTAGGGATTTATTCTGTGTACTGTATTATTTTCTCTGACCCACTTAAATGGTAGTATAACTGTAATGCCTCTTGAGGATAAAGGAAAAAAAGAAAGAAATCTATTTTCTGAAACGCTGTTGAGTTTTGAAAGCACATCTTGATATCCCTATGAGTACAAAAACAATAGCATTTTACAACCATGTATTTTGATACACTGTAAAATCCTTGATTTCTCGTGATAGAAGAACACTAGACATTCCAAAGATATTTCAGAATCTCTTCTTTGGAACATAATACAACTAAAAAATGAGTAATAAGCATGTCTATTCTTAAATTGTCTGTGTGCTTTCTTCCCCTATCCCTGCTGTATCATCATCTTCAAGACTGTTGATCATTCATGGACATTTTTTCCCCTTCTCATTTTTCCTTTCAAATTATTTATCATTTAATTATGAAAGATAACAACAGTACATACAAGATTGTTCTCTTTATTTTAACTTCTATGCATTTGCTATATGGAAACAAATTATTTGACTATTTGCTTTTAAAATCAATGCACTAGAAATGCATTGAAGGTCTACTATGTGCCAGAAACTTGCTAGAGGGCTGACAGGGTTTGGCAGTGAGTATGGACATACAGGGTTATATAAATGCATGAGACAAGCATGCACTCAGCTGGGAGTCTGCTCAAGATTCTCTTCTTCTTCCTGCCCTTACCTCTGTACGTGCACACACGTTCTCTCTCTCTCTAAAATATTTTTGAAAAATCCCTTTTTAATTGAGAGCTCTATGTTATCTTGAGCTACTCTCAAGCTAAGTCGCATAGGTTACCTTTGTCTTAAAACCCCATTAAAATGTTCTTTTTATCTTTCTGTAATTGTTGTCATCAAAGAAACATGGATAAGATAGAAAAGACCTATAGACAGACAATGATAACAAAAACCACTCATCAAAAAAAAAAAAAAAACAACACAGAATCTCAGGTTACATTTGGCTAAATAAGATGGCAAAGATACTGATGGGTTCACATGGAAGGACACTGGCAGATTTTGAACTCCGTGTTGAAAGGATAAGTATTGGGCATACCAGACCGATGCTTCATGCCTTTCTGCCTATTTCCATAAACTTCATAACAAATTTGTGTGGTAAAGACCAGTGGCCTCATCTTAGAATGAGTGAAAATGTTTGGAGCTGCTATCTGCCCAAGAGCACACTGTCAGCCCATGGCCATATCAGAGACCCCTGTACTAGGCTTCCCTCAACCCTCCATTCTTCATATGTACCACATCCTGAAATTAAAGACCAATGTGTGCATTGAACAAAAATGTACAGCTCTATCTGGTTATAGATTTGGAAAAGGAGGAAGTATACTTCTAACCAAACTAATAATTTTACATTATTTTTCAAGTCCAATTAAATACAATAACTTACTCTTTCATTGTACTAGTAAAACATAGAATTCTAATTTTTTTTGTACTGGTGCAGAATTTCTTGAAATTTTTAGAATATGAATTCTTAGAATATGATGTGTCTTTAACATTATCTTTTGTGCCCATTAAAATAATTTCATTCTGAAAAATTTTTAATAGAAATGTAGACTAGATATTTTTGGATATATTTGGATTGAAAGATAAATATCATATATTATCTCTTTAATCCATTTACTTCACTGTGACCACATTTGTTAAAATTGAGTTATGTATTATATGTGATTTTTATTGTTTTATGATTGTTTTGAATCTCTAGTATCTAATTTATTCCAGCAGACATAATATATATGTCTAGAGTTTAATGCAATCTTTCCAACTACAAAAGAGGTTTCAGGAACATGGAACTCTGTCTATATGCCAGACAGTGCTGATCTTTCTTGTTGCCCACATCACTGAGACATACCAGGCACTCCTAAAAGGGATTTTAGAATCTTACATATCCCTTGAAATACCAAGAATAGCAACACTTTGTTGGACTGAGCTGGCCTGAAGATTTGTACTGCATGGTAATGTTTGTCATTCTAAGGATCATTAGCACATGGAGTCCTGCCCACCTGAACACTTAAGACCATGCTTTTGCATAACGTTAAGCAGCCTTTTTCCAGGCTGTGTCCAATACACACATGTGCACAATCGCACACACACACACACACACACACATGCATGCGCATTATCTGACTTTATTTCCAGACTTTTGTTCATTCTGAACCTCCTTCTTTGATGTCTACTTCTTTAGCCAAGTGGTTTGGTTTATATGATATAAGTTTTTGGAATGAGGTTTCTGAATCCTATGCTTAGACTACATTTAGTTAATCTCTAACCTAAATAAAGCCTTAAGTCTCTCATCTGTGTAATGGGCATCAAAACATCCTGTATGATTATTTAAGTGAGAAATAGATGTTTAAAAACCCTGACATCCTTTCTTAAATATTAATCTTCCTCTTCCGTACCTTTTTCATAGATATGTTTTAAGGATCCAGTGAACTAACATGCTGTATGGTGACAGATGAAGGGCATAGAATTTGAGTTAGAAATGAGGTTTTTTTTTTAAAGATTTTTTTACTTATTTATTTATAGAGACACACACACAGAGAGAAGAGGCAGAGACACAGGCAGAAGGAGAAGCAGGCTCCTTGCAGGGAGCCCAATGTGGGACTCGATTCCCGGTCTCCAGGGTCACTCCACAGGCTACCGGTGGCCACTAAACTGAGTTTAAATCTTGGCTCTGCCACTTACCAGCTGTGTGACCCTGCAGTTATTTAATTTATTAAATTAGTTTCTTAATTTATAAAATGGGAATAATAATTCCTATTTCATGCAATTGTGCGTATAATGTGAAATGTATGTAAATTGCTGTTTGGAGCCTGATGTTTACCATACATTACTAAGGTCTTATTGAAATACTCTAGTCCAATTATCTGTGGTCTGACTTCCATTCAGCTTCTCCCAAGATGTGTTCTAACCTAGATTTTAAGTGTTTAGAAGTTCAGCAACCAGATTTGACTCCTTATTGAACTTTGTAGGATCACCTAGAATAGTGTCAAGTGCATTATGCGAATGCTTGTTCAGTTTCAGGCCAGTAAAATAAATACTTGAGATTTTAGCCTACCCACCTGTCAGCCTTGGGATGGTCAGTAGGAGCAACAGGTTTGGGTAAGTATTTGTAATGGAAGCTGAATCAAATTCATAGGTTTTCCAAGTATAATACCACAATGATTGTATTATATGACTAGAATTCTGTGAATGTACTTTGCTCACATTTCAATAATAACCATTAATTTATTCTGTACCTATGCCATATTTACTGCATTGTTTTAAAATATGAGTGTATGGACTGCCACTTATATAATACAGTCTGCTACTTAGATACATAGTGTAACATATACTATATGCTCTCTAATGACTTCATTATGATTAGCTATACAGAAGAAAGTAATATAAAAAGAAGAGAGAAGCACACCTCAGAGGCTCAGTTGGCTAAGCTTCTGCCTTCAGCTCAGGTCATGATTTCAGGGTCCTGGTACTGAGCCCTGCATTGGGCTCCCTGCTCAGTGGGGAGTCTGCTTCTCCCTTTCCCTCTGCTCCTTCCCCTGCTTATGTGTGCTTGCTCTCTCTCTCTCTCTCTCTCTCTCTCTCTTTTTTTTCTCTCTCTCAGATAAATAAATAAATAAAAGATTTTTTAAAAAAAAGAAGAGAGAAAAGGAACGAACATAAGCAAAAGTAGAATGATCATGTTGAATGGGTAGTGAATTCCAGCAAAGACTGCCTTGGCCACTGCTTTTCTAATTTTCATATATTGGACCTCCTTAGTCTTATTATTCATGTTATATTTTTTGTTGCTTCAAAATATTATATTTGTAAAATAATAAAATCATTGTAACTGTAATGTACTAAAAATATACTCTTTTTAATGCACTAAAGTTAATTATTTGGTAACCTGAAGAATAATTTAAAAATACATTCTTAGCTAACTAGGAAAAATAGTTTTGGATATCCAAATTTTAATTTCTTTAAAATAAAAGCACACTGATGGATTTCCAATGCTTTTCAAAATTTTAATTTTTTTCTTCAAGATTTGCTTATACAGTAAGGATCTTTTCTGATGTTCTGCACAATCTATTACTTGGTGCAGTATCCTCTTGAGGTAGATCTTACTTTTTATTTATAACAACACAAACCACAGAAAGTTGAATGGTTGGTCTTAGAAAGTCACAAAATATGAAACAATCAGAATGGTACTTTAGGGTTGTAGGCTCTCCTGCCTGATTATTTTAGTTTTTTATGTGATTTTGTTTATGGAAGAATTGACAAACATGTGTGGGGTCTAACTGCTATACATTAATTATTTTTGGACCAAAGGTGATGCAAGCTTCCAGTTCCTGTCCAGTTCCTGTCCAGCTGTCCAGTTCCTGTTATTATGTTTTTTTTTACTATATCTCTATCAATCAACAAGGCCTGTTTTATCCAGTCTTAGTCAAATCAAATATGATCCCTATACTCTCCCATTTGTGTTTGAAGATACAGCAAAAGTACTCATCATATAGTATTTATTGAAGTGAAAACTGGTGTTTTGGCTAGATGATCATATAATCATTCATATGATTATATGAATACCTAAGAGAGTTGAAATAAAGGCTGTGCAATTCAAGAATTGTTGAAAAGCTTGATACATTCTTTCCTATTATATATTTGTGGTATTTGTTTAAGGACGAAAACTCTTGGTTTAGTCCCATAGTAAAGAATTTATTAAAAGTCTTAGGATTTCTCAATTACTCCTAAGTAATGTTGTGGAAAGTTAATAAGAAAAAAAAAGGCTATTTTCTTATACTGTATTCTCTGATTTCAATTTCGTTTTCATCTTCCTTTTTTTCCCTTAATATAACTTCAGAGGGCTGCTGAAGTATCAAGCTAATTTAGATACCCACCCTCCTGGCTGCATCAATATTAATGGAACCCGCTACCAGAATATCCACTTACCAAACTATCGCTCAGAACATTTTCATGAATCTTTCCCTGGAGGACTTTCGAAACCAGATGAACTTACCCAAAACAGATCTGTGAACATTTGTATGGAAGAGCCCAGGTTCCAAGCTAATTTTCCACAGGTCAGATTAATTTGATATCTTTGATGGTCTCCTTAAAGTCCATATTTCCATAATTATTCATCAGCATTTCATTTAAACATGCTTTTGAAGGTATATAAAGCAATTATTCTTATAGAACAATTCAGGATGTTTCAATTGGAAGATAGCATCTATTTTTCCATTAGAGGCATCTGGCAGTTCAAGGAGAAAGACCTATGATATTACAGGATATTGAAAATTCCTGCTTACCTGACTATATGATCTTTGCATGCTGTGGCAATGGTACTTGCCAAAGGAGAGGTGACAAGGATAGTTTCCCTAGCCATTGAGAAAAATAGGTTGGATAATAAAAACAATAGCAAAAGGACTAATACTAACAGTAATTATTATTATGGTACAGAATAATATGGTGATATTATGTATAATATTTTCAATAAATTGTAAAATTAATTTGTCAAATGTTTGATATTATCTGCTAAGTACTATGCTAAAAGGTACTGCAGGCATAATTTCTCTTAATATTCACAATAGCCCTTTGAAGCAATTACTATCCTCCTTAATTTTTTGAAGATGAAATTATGGCTTACATACATGTAATACCTCGAGCAAATTCTTCAATAATACATGGCAGAAGTAGAGTACAAAACCAGATGTTTGACTAAAATGCTTGCTCTTGGAAAACTTCTTGCACAAATTACCTGGCGAGTGGTTCCATAAGAGCCCTAATCTTCCCATGTGGGTATGGGAGCTGCCAATGTGGGAATTAACACCCTGTACTCTTTGCCTGTAGCAGGTGGTAGTATGGGACAGTGATGTCGAATGTCTTTTTTCAGAAGAGAAGAAAGAGGAGTCAAAAAGTAGAATGAATTTGTAGATGACTCTGGAGTGAGTGTGTTGCCTTGTGTTTACTTTTTAATAATAATCCTCAAGATTTCTAATAGATTTTGCAATTTTCAAAGTTTTCTGGGCTTCACACAATGCTGTTAGGTAGGGCAGGTACTGTGATACCTGTTTTACTTCTGTGAAACTTAATGCTCCAAAAGTAAGTGACTGTCTCAAAGTTGAAAGCCTGCTGTATTGCAAGGCTTGTTGTGATGCCTGCTACTCACACAGCATCAAAGTAAATATCAGGAAGAGGCATAATCTGCATGGAAGGAAAAGGTCTGAAATAGCCATGTAAATAAGATCTTAAAAAGTAACCATTAAAATAAGTTTGGGTCAGAGGCCTCTCAGTGATGAGGTAAATATAATGTACATTTCTAAGAGGAGAATTGGCCACACAGGACAGGCATCTGTAATTCTGAGAGTATGCAGTGAGTTACCCTGGGATCAGGGCTATCCATCCAGCACACATTCAGAATTGGTACACTTTCAAATTCTATATAATACCTTCTGTTCATATTACTTTTATTATGTAAAAGTTGTAAGCAACATGATTAGTATATCTTATATTTTAAAATATGTTCATTTACATATTTTACACTGTATATACATTATGTATGTGTACATTATATATACATGTCATATGCATTAAAAATACCCAGGGTTGAATAAAAGGCATAGCATAAGAAAAACAGCCAGTGATATTATGATAGTGATGTAGTGGGACAGATAGTAGCTACACCTATAGTGAACGTGGGATAATGTATAAACTTGTCAAATCACTAAGGTGTACACCTGCAACTAATATAACATTGTATATGAACTACACTCATATAAAAATAAATAAAAGTAAAAAAAATCTAATAAAAACCTTACCTGACATTTTGAAGAATTCTAATTACTCTTAAAAAATAAAGCATTTTGGGATCCCTGGGTGGCGCAGCGGTTTGGCGCCTGCCTTTGGCCCAGGGCGCGATCCTGGAGACCCGGGATCGAATCCCACGTCAGGCTTCCGGTGCATGGAGCCTGCTTCTCCCTCTGCCTGTGTCTCTGCCTCTCTCTCTCTCTCTCTCTGTGACTATCATAAATAAATAAAAAAATTAAAAAAAATTAAAAAAAAATAAAGCATTTTAATATGTTAAAAATTCACACACATATCCAGGATTTTCTCTTTTTTTAAACAAACATTGGATTGGTACTTCTTTTTTCTAAAATCATCTTTAGGTTTTTTTGAAATTTGACTTCCCTTCTTTTTTAGATGAAGATATTACATATACATGTATTATGTATTTACTGTGCACGCACAGAAGGAAATAATGAAACAAAGTGTGCATACCTGTTAGTGTGGCACATAACTTCTTTTGTTTTATGTTTAGTCTTGTTTGAGTAAGTTGTAGTGAGCATCTTTGTTTTTACTGACTTTTCTTTGCATCTTATTATTTAAAATACAAATTACAATGCCATTACTATAATGTATGAAATAAACAATTGAACAGGATATAAATATTCCTACAACACAAATATTTCTTAAAGTATGTTTTAAAAATTCTCCATTAGACCTGGCTTTGGATATCTGGACCTTTGTGCCTGTATTGTGCTGAAAGACTTTACAGGTGTATCCGGAGCAATAAACCGGTCACCATCATCTCAGTCATAAGTCATCCCTCAGATGTCATGGAAATCCGAATGATAAAAGAAAATTTTAAAGCAAGACCTGGCCAGGTGAGTCAGTGTTCAACAACTATTATTTTTTAATGTATTTATTAATTTTAATTTTAGGAGCGGAGGGTCAGAGGGGGAGGGAGAGAGGGGAAATCTTAAGCAGCTTCCACGCCCAGTGCAGAGCTTGATCTCACAACCCTGAGATCATGACCTGTGCTGAAATCAAGAGTCAGATGCTTAATGGTCTGAGCCATCTAGGTGCCCCAAATTCCCTTTATCCTTAAATCATTTTTGAAAATTAGTATTCGTGCCATTATTAGAGTACTTTAACTTCTTTCTTGGTCATTTAAAAATTATGTTTGTTGCTTTTTAGTATATTATTCTACATTGTCCCAGTGTGTCTGCCTTAGAAAACCATCCATTTACCCTCACAATGGTAAGAAACTTGTTTTTGATTTTTAAAATTTCATAGTGACATCTTTTTCTTTTGTGTGTGTGTATTTTACTTCACTCTAAAAATCATTCAAGGAGATCATAATAACCTAAATGTTTAAGTAAGCCATTTAGAAAATAAAAGAAATATTATCTGTTCAGAAACTTTGTAGCTATTTATTATTTTCAAACACTTTACAATTCAGGAAGCAATACTTAAAATGTATTAAAGCTTGATGATTTGAAATATGGAAAATTTCCTGGATATTTACATTTTCCTTTTATGAAATATGTACCAAAATATTCTATGTATGGTTTTCTTTAGAGAGATTGAATTTAGTGATGAAGAGGGTACTCTGGGTTGAGGTGGAAGCATACAAAAATCCAATCAGTGTTTAGAAAAGAAAAAGTCTGTAGTATTTGGTGTCCAGACAAAGTGTGGGGGAGGGAAGGGAAAATAAAGTTGGAAAAATAAAATGGAATAAATAATGGGCAGGTGAAGATCTGGCTAAATAATGGCTTTACCAAATATTTTTAGCCCTATTCGACATTGTTTAACATTCTTTTTTTACATTATAAATATAGCATAAGCCTATTATCAGAAAGTATACAATTCATTTTTCCTCATTTTTCCCCACTTTTCAATCCTTTCTTTTTTTTTTAAGATTTTATTTATTCATTCGTGAGAGACACACACACACACACACAGAGAGAGAGAGAGAGAGAGAGAGAGAGAGAGAGAGAGAGAGGCAGAGACACAGGCAGAGGGAGATGCAGGCTCCATGCAGGGAGCCCGACATGGGACTCGATCCCTGGTCTCCAAGATCACACCCTAGGCTGCAGGCGGCGCCAAACCGCTGCGCCACCGGGGCTGCCCTCAATCCTCTTTCTCAGAATTTGACATATATTCCTCCAGACCTTTTCCTATATACTTAGGCATAGATAGATGTTTGACATTTCTTTGCTGGATCATTTATTTTATAATTTGCTCTTTTCACTCAATAATATATAATGGACAGCTTTCCATGTTACTGTATTTGCATATGCCTCATTTTTTTTTAAAAAAAGATTTTATTAATTTATTTGAGAGAGAGCACGAGAGAGAGAGAGAGAGGGAGAGAGAATGAGCAGGGGGTAGGGTAGAGGGAGATTCAGATTCCCCACTGAGCGGGGAGCCTGATGTGTGACTTCATCCCAGGACCTGGGGGCCATGACCTGAGCCAAAGGCACATGCCCTGTCTCATTTTTTTAAGGACTGCATAATTCACTATAATTTATTTAGTATTTCCCATTGATGATGAAGACTGAGATTTTTTTTTCCAATTTCTAGCAAAAGTAACTAAGAACAGGACCCAGGACCCACATGTTTAAATATATGCTTAAGTATGCAAATCAAATTGAACAGATGGGGGACTGAAAAAAATCACTGGTTCCTAATGCTGGGATCTAAGGGTGGGGCTGTACTGGAAATGGCAACCACTTTTCTTTCTTTCTTTTCTTTCTAAAAATTTATTTATTTGAGAGTGGGGAGGGCAGTGGGGTAGACCCTGCCTCATCTTTCATCTGGTGCTGTGTAGGCAGTTGTCTAGAGTGAGAGGGGAAACGTGTTGTTATGAGAAATAGTGAAAACTTAGTTGCCCTAATAAGATTCAAAACTGGGACCTCAGAGTCCAGGACGCAGCCTTCACCAGGAACCAAGTAGCCGTATCATGCCCTTCACTGCTCTTGGATACGCAGGTCATACAATATGCTTTAATATGGCCGTAGTTCCCTGAGACCATAGGATCCATGGCAAATAAATGTGATGAACAAACCTTCCTCTATGAAGTTTCAGCTGAATCATGAAGGCATTTTCACATGATTGCATCCACTACAGTCAGAAGCATCGTGTTTAGTTCTGCTACTTTTAAGATACATTTCCATTTCTCTAATTTCATGCATCCCATAAATCTGACGTTGACAACATTAAAAAGAAGGGAAAGAATGGAATAGGGAGAAAGTACACAGGAATGTTTATTTTAAGTAGTTAAAAAAATTTGGTCTATTCTTGGGGTCATAGGATATTTTACTTCCAAAGTTAATCCTTCTTTGTGTTCGACTCTGTTTTTTTTTTTTTCCAGCTTTATTGAAGTGTAATTGAAAAATGAAAAATTGTGAGTGCCTGGGTGGCTCAGTGGTTGAGTGTTTGCCTTTGGCTCAAGTTGTGATCCTGGGGTCCTGGGATCGAGTTTCGCATTGGGCTCCTGCAGGGAGCCTGCTTCTCCCTCTGCCTGTGTGTTTCCTTTCATGAATAGATAAATAAAATCTTCAAAAAATGAAAAATTGTATATATTTAAGGTGTGCAACTTGAGACTTTATTTTGAAAATAATTTCTTCACCATAGCATTAAATAGAGTATATGGAATAAGAAAGGAAGGCAGTTGCGGAATGTTAAATACAGAGAAAAAGGGGTTGTTTTTCTTCTTTACAAAAGTATTTCACAACATATGCATAAGTAGAATGGTATAATGGACCGCCATGTTCTCATCTGCCATGTTCTCATCACCCAGCTTTAGTAAAAATAGAGAAGATAGTTTACTTTTTAACATACATTGTATGATTGAAAATGTTTATGCTCCTCAAAACAGAAAAATCTAAGAATTTCTCTCTTATGGTACATGCCGGGAAGAGGCTTCTAGATTTAGTCTCTTTCGGTCATCCTAAGATTCTTTCTTTCCCAGGGCAAAAGGAGAAATTCGGAAAAGAATGCCATGTAGGGCATAAGGGCTCCCAATTGGCCTGATCTGCTTCCCAAGCAGGTGATTGGGGTAAGCGCTGTAATAGCCCTGTGTCTGGCTGTAAGCACTGTTGGGAAGCTGAGAAAAGCAGGGAAAGGGAACAGACAGAAGAGGAACTGGGAGTAGGAATCAGAGTTGAGAAAAGGAGAACAATTATGTGTGATGTAAAATGGTAATATTTACACAGAGAACATGAACATGACAATTCAGCCCCAGCTCTGTCACTGATGAGTTCTGTGCCTGGGAGGGTATCTCTGGTGGTGGTCAGTACCTGGTAACAATGCTATTGTAATTTTTAATGATCTCAGAATATTTCCTTTTTTTTTTTAGAATATTTCCTTTTAATTCAGATTTTTGCCTTCACTTCTGCAATTATTATTATTGTTGTTGTTGTTGTTGTTGTTATTATTATTATTAGAAGAAGCAGGGATAGGACATCAACATGTGGTTTTCCAACCTGAAAATAGGAAATTTTGAGGATATCACAGGAGTCTCAGCTTTTGAAGATCTGTCATGTAGATGAAGGGTTAGATATTTTTCCTTTGGGATCCCAAGGTATAGAAATAAGACTAATAGTAAAAAGTTTCAGAGAAATAAATTTTGATTCCATATGATGAAGACATTTCTGTCAATGAGACCAGTTCAGAAACTTAGAAAGCTGTCTCCCTGGAATGTTAGGAGGTTTGAGCTAGAAGGATTTCCAACTCGGCATTATTGACATTTTGGGTCAGATAATTCTTTGATGTGGCATGTTGTCCAGTGCATTACAAGATGTTTACCAACACTGGTAGCTTCCACCTTCTAGCTGCCAATAGTACCCCTGACTTGTGACGATGAAAAATGTCTCCAGACATTGTTAAATAACCCCTGAAGGGTTATTGGAGGTCAGAATTGCTGGCAGTTGAGAGCCATTATGCTAGGTCAATACTTGCCTAACACAGCTTATAAGTGCTCTTAGGATGGGGCTAATGTGCGTCATTACGATGCTCTAGGATGAGAAGGGAAAAATTAGGAGGCAGAAGAAAAGGTGAGGGGTCACAGTGCCTAACTCGCATTCTGGGGACTCTGAGCTTTTGGGACCTAGCTTCATGAATATCATCACCTAAAATATATATATTTTTTTGCCTACTCAACTAAAATCCTTTTTGGGGTTCCATAAGTTATTTTGGCTGCTATGAATTCTTGAATACTGCTATGCGATAGAAACCTTTGAAAGAGAATTTGATTCATTTTCAAATTCATAATTATTTTCCGTATTTGGAGTCATCCACTCCCAAATAATAGGGTTTGGATATGTATCAAAAGAAAAGGTAGGATAGCAGTATAAAGATAAAACAAGTTAAACAAGAGTGAAAATGATATAAGAATATTCTCAGATACTTGACATTTTTGTCATGTGAGTGAAAGATTATTATATTTTTTTTCCTGTGGGATCCTGAGGCGTGAGAATAGGAAGAACATTATTCTTTGAGAACAAATGATGGTTTAGTGCCTACTTTGGGAAATAGGATGTGTTTGCCTGGGTGGTGGGGAGGCAGTAAAGCTCCTCATCTCTTGGGTATACAGCACTCCTGAGTCTCCTTAAGAGCAACCTGCTGTAGCAAAGGACCATCACCTACAGCCCTGACTGGTGGTGGCCTGGTGAGCCCTCAGCACTAAGCCTCTGAGCCAGGGCAGGCTCATTTCAGAAGATGCAAGTTCATGAGTGCGTTGGATAGAGGCAAAGAGGTTGGATGCTTGGAATTCTGTATTCATCCCAGTTTTCTGTCTTTCTTACTTTTTTCAATTAAAAGATTCTTCTTTATTCCTTCTACTTCTTTCAGGTTACTTCTTTAGTTCTCTTAAAGGAATATGCTCCTTTGAAAATTCTCTGAGAAAAAAATGAGAAAGAAAATGCATTTTTCTTTGGACCTAAAATAGTTTGGAAAATACTGTTCGAGATACATCACTCTTAGAAATTCATAGTGCTGGGATCCCTGGGTGGCTCAGCGGTTTAGTGCCTGCCTTTGACCCAGGGTGTGATCCTGGAGTCCCGAGATTGAGTACCGCATCGGGCTTCTGGCATGGAGCCTGCTTCTCCCCCTGCCTGTGTCTCTGCCTCTCTCTCTCTCTCTCTCTATGTCTATCAAGAATAAATAAATAAAATCTTAAAAAAAATTCATAGTGCCTCTTAACATATTACTAGTTCTGAGAAGCTGACCCATTTGCTTATTCAATTTTAATAAAT